GGTCCCGGGTTTGATCAGTAGCAGGGGCTCTAATACCAGCTGATATAGCACCTTGTTCAAGGTGGAGCTCAGTAAATAGGGGTTGACTGATTTTCCAGTGAATTTTGCCAAGCATAGAAACTAGATGCAAACTTGGACTTGTTCCTAACCCATGTTTTTGTGTTAATACTTTTTGAGGATTGAAAGTGAAATTTAAAGGAAACTCTTCCCATCTGTGGGTATGCCTGAAACAACAATAATAAAAGGCTAGGGGCCGGCACTGTGGCATAGTGGGTTAAACTTCCGCCTGCAGTACCAGCGTCACATATGGGCGCCAGTTTGAATCCCGGCTGCTCCACTTTTGATCCCACTCCCTGCTAATGGCCTGGGAAAGAAGCAGAAGATGGCCCAAGTGTTTGGGCCCCTGCACCGTATGGAAGACCCAAAAGAAGCTCCTGACTTTGGATCAACCCAGCTTTGGCCGTTGTGGCCGTTTGGGGTTAGAACCAGCAGGTGGAAGACATCTCTATCTCTCTCTCTGCCTCTGCCTCTCTGTAACTCTACCTTGCAAATAAATAAATACATCTTAAATAAATAAATAAATAAATAGCTAGTGAATACCAAATATCAGGCTTGGTTCTGAGTAGTCTATAGTATAATTAGTTTAGTTCTCAATGATAGTTGGGTAATATAGATACCATTATTCTCCACATTTTACAGATGAAGTCACTGAGTTAGAAAATGGTTTTGTGGCCAGCGCCGTGGCTCACTAAGCTAATCCTCCGCCTGCGGCGCCAGCACCCTAGGTTCTAATCCCGGTTGGGGTGCCGGATTCTGTCCTAGTTGCTCCTCTTCCAGTCCAGCTCTCTGCTGTGGCCCGGGAAGGCAGTGGAGGATGGCCCAAGTGCTTGGGCCCTGCATCTGCATGGGAGACCAGGAGGAAGCACCTGGCTCCTGGCTTCGGATCAGTGCAGTGTGCTGGCCGTGGCGGCCATTTGGGGGGTGAACCAACGGCAAAGGAAGACCTTTCTCTCTGTCTCTCTCTCTCTCACTGTCTAACTGCCTGTCAAAAAAAAAAAAAAAAAAAGAAAAAGAAAAAGAAAAGAAAGAAGAAGAAGAAGATGGTTTTGTGGCCAGCGCCGCGGCTCAATAGGCTAATCCTCCGCCTGCGGCGCTGGCACACCGGGTTCTAGTCCCGATCGGGGCACCGGATCCTGTCCTGGTTTGCCTCTCTTGCAGTCCAGCTCTCTGCTGTGGCCCGGGAGTGCTCAGTGGAGGATGGCCCAAGTGCTTGGGCCCTGCACCCGCACGGGAGACCAGGAGAAGCACCTGGCTCTTGGCTTCAGATCAGCACGGTGCGCTGGCCGCAGCGGCCACTGTGGGGTGAACCAACAGAAAAGGAAGACCTTCCTCTCTGTCTCTCTCACTTTCTACTCTGCCTGTAAAAAAAAAAAAAAAAAAAGGAAATGGTTTTGTGAGTGGGGATCTGAACCCAGGCCATTGGCCCCTTCCAAATACGCAGTTATGGTTTTGGGAACGCTGGCCAGATGAAGTCCCGAGTCGCTGCAGTCTTCATTTCCCAAGTTCAGGCCTTTGCTACAGTGACAGTGGCAGGTGCTGGTAGCACTGAGAGCTGTGAAGAGCCAGGGAAGTCACGCCATTCGGGGTGCGGGTGGAAGGAGACTAACTTACAGCTGCTTGGCTTCCTAGTGGGGAATTTCCTGCCAGTTCAGGAGTGGTATTTTCCCAAGTTTGTAGTGAACTCTGGGACACATGACTCAGTTCCTACAGTGGACTGCGATTGTTTTTAAAAACATGTTTTCCATTTTACTTAGCATGACATAGCAAGGGCACAGCTTTCCCAGTTGTCTTGAGGAAGGCACGTGTTTGAGGGACACAAGGCGAGAGGGCTGTAGATTTGTATTTCTCTCCTGTTCGTGACTTTCATTAGGCCTTACTGTTTTAAACTCTCTCCTTTGGTTTTTAAATCTTAGCTAAAAGGTTAAAATGTGGCCCATCTCCGTAGGGACCAGTCTGAGTATTCTCACTTCGGAAGGGGAAGGGACCCAGCTGGACTACAGTGGCTCCTAGGAGACCCAGATTTGTGAGGTTCACGTCGGGTTGTCTCCCGCCTTACTTCCCATCAGGGGTCTTTTCTGTTCCTGTACTAACATCTTATCTGGCTACCACGTGTGTTCTGCTCTTGAATTGGTTTCACCCCGGTTTTGATACACACAAATGATTCCTTTGTGGACTTATGTTAGAAATAAAGAAGGGCCGGGGCCGGCACCGTGGTGCAGTAGGTTAATCCTCCGCCTGTGGTGCCAGCATCCCGTTTGAGTGCTGGTTCTAGGTAGAGGATCTTCTATCTGCTGGTTCATTCCCCAAATGGTCGCAATGGCCTGGGTTGGATCAGGTTGAAGCCAGGAGCTTCTTCCGGGTCTCCCATCTTCCACTGCTTTTCCAGGTGCACCAGCAGGGAGCTGGATGGGAAGTAGAGTAGCCGGGACTTGAACCAGTGCCCAAATGGATGCTGACACTGCAGGTAGAGACAACATTCTATGCCACAGTGTTGACCCCTACTTTCTTTCTTTCTTAAGATTTATTTATTTATTTATTTGAGAGGTAGAGTTACAGACAGTGAGAGGAAGAGACAGAGAGAAAGGTCTTCCTTCCATTGGTTCACTCTCCAAATGGATGCAACGGCTGGAGCTACACCGATCCAAAGCCAGGAGCCAGGTGCTTCTCCTGGTCCCCCATACAGGTGCAGGGCCCAAGGACTTGGGCCATCCTCCACTGCACTCCCTGGCCACAGCAGAGAGCTGGCCTGGAAGAGGAGCAACCGGGACAGAATCCAGCACCCCGACTGGGACTAGAACCCGGGGTGCTGGCGCCGCAGGTGGCAGATTAGCCTGTTGAGTCGCGGCACCGGCCCCTTTTTTTCTTTTTTTAAACAGAATTAACTCATTGTGATAAGATGCATGTATGTGTAAATATGTTTTAAATATATTTTTTTGAAGATTTATTTATTTGAAAGAAGGAGAGATGGAGATAGAACGCTTCCATCTGCTGGTTCACTCCCCCAAATGGCCACAGCTGCTGGAGTTGGGCCAGTCTGAAGCCAGGTGTCAGGAGTGTCTTCTGGCTCTCCCACATGAGTTCAGGGACCCAAGTACTTGGGCCATTCTTGGCTGAATTCCCAGGCATGTTAGCAGGAAGCTGGATTGGAAGTTGAGCAGCGAGGTCTTAAACTGGTGCCCACAGGGGATGCTGGTTCTGCAGGTAGCAGTTTAACCTGCTCTGCTATAACACTTTCCCTGATTTCTTTCTTTCTTTCTGTCTGTCTGTCTTTCTGTCTTTTTTTAAATTTTATTTATTTGAAAGGCAAGCTACAGAGAAGGAGAGACAGAGCTTCAATCTGCTGGTTCATTCCCCAAATAACGGCAGCAGCCAGGGCTGGGCCAGACTAAAACCAGGAGCCAGGAGCTTCTTCCAGGTCTCCCATGTGGGTGCAGGGGCCCAGGGACTTGGGCCATCCTCCACTACTTTCCCTGGTGCATTAGCAGGGAGCTGGATTGGAAGTGGAGCAGCTGGGACTTGAACTGGTGTGCATATGGGATACTGGTGTCGCAGGTGCTAGCTTTACCTGTTATGCCATAATGCTGGCCCCCTGATTTATTTCTTTATTTCAGAGGCAGTGTACAAAGAGAAAGATCTTCCTTCCACTGGTTCATTCCCCAGATGCCCCAGTGGCTACAGCTGGTCTGGGCTGAATTCAGCAGCCTGGAACGCCACCTGGGTCTCCCACATAGGTGGCAAGGGTCCAGGTACTTGAACCATCTTCTGCTGCTTTCCCAGGGATGTTAGCAGGGAGCTAGATAAGAAGTGGAGCAGCCAAGACTCCAGCTGGCGCTCATATGGAATGCCTGTGTCACAGATGGTGGCTTAACTTACTGCACCACAATGCCAACCCTTGGAAATACTTTTTAAAAGTTAAGCACAGGGCCGGCGCCATGGCTCACTAGGCTAATCCTTCGCCTAGCGGCGCCGGCACACCGGGTTCTAGTCCCGGTCAGGGCGCCGGATTCTGTCCCGGTTGCCCCTCTTCCAGGCCAGCTCTCTGCTGTGGCCAGGGAGTGCAGTGGAGGATGGCCCAAGTGCTTGGGCCCTGCACCCCATGGGAGACCAGGATAAGTACCTGGCTCCTGCCATCGGATCAGTGCAGTGCGCCGGCTGCAGCACACCGGCCGCGGCGGCCGTTGGAGGGTGAACCAACGGCAAAGGGAGACCTTTTTCTCTGTCTCTCTCTCACTGTCCACTCTGCCTGTAAAAAAAAAAAAAAAAAAAAAGTTAAGCACAGGACCACTGCAATGAGAAGAGGAAGAGCTGTGGGACTTCTCCTTCCTCTCCCTACTCTCCCACTCGCCCCCGACTCTATCCACAGAGCAGAGAGGAATAAGGGAAGGCTGTTAATGGCCTAATGCAAGTACAGGCCAAAGGGAGGTGGGAGCAGATTGTTTGTGGCAGTGGGAGATGGAATTGTACCAGATTATAGAGGGAGCGGAAGAAGTCATTTGCACTCTCCAGGGAAGAGATGGGCCTGAGGCAATTAGAATTTTCCACCTTCACTTTAGTGATTCTTTGATTACAGAGGCATACAAGGTAGAGAAAGCCTCCGATCTTTTTGATGCTGTCAGGAGAACCCTAAAAATTCCATTGTCAGAGGCACCTCTGAAGCCCCTTGTGATTGTGAATCTTCGAGTTGAGGGTATGGAGAGAGGGGAGATGGGTGCCAGGAAAATGTTAAGCATTTTCTCAGAAGTCTCTTCATGGAGGAAGAAGATGCTGTTTTAAGTGGTGAGCATATTTAAATTTAACACATGGATTAAATGTAAATTAACTGGGTGAAGCCCAACAATGCCAGCTTCAACTATGTGGGCAGTGTTTACTGCTTATCTGAGAGCCACCCCCTCTGGCTGGTGCTCACTCCCTGTGTGCCTCTCTGTCTTGCCCCACCCCAGGGTTCTGGCTGGTGTGGACCATCTTCATCCTCCTGAGCTGCTGCTGTGTCTGCCACCACCGCCGAGCCAAGCACCGCCTGCAGGCCCAGCAGCGGCAACATGAAATCAACCTGATCGCCTACCGGGAAGCCCACAACTACTCAGCGCTGCCATTTTATTTCAGTACGTACCCCAAAGGCTGCCCTGCCCCCACCTCGGTCCCCCAGGCCCAGACCATACGTTAGTGCCCGGAGCTCCTGTGGCCATGGAGGATTTACCCTCCGTGCCCTACACAGACTGGAGCTCACAAGTCCTGGAACGAGGAGTCCTCCTTCAGCATAGGGGAGCAGGCGTGGTGGATGCGGCTCATGAAGCCACTGGACCCTCCCAGAACTCGCAGTGGCTGGGTTCTGGCCAGGTCCCTGTTCCTTTAGAGGGTTGTTTTGGTATTAAAGGCAGCGAGGTGGATGATGTGAGTGAATCAAGGTTTGGAGTTCACAGTCTGGCTTCCTCCCATTTTGCTTACTGCTGTGTGATATGCTTGAGCAGAGATTGCCATGAAAGGGGCAGGTGTAGGGGTGACATTGGGCCTTCCTAAGAACCCACCAACTTAGACGAGCACTCCTCAGACTTCCTGGACTCCAGTGGAGGCCCAGCTGGGCAGCTTGTCCAAAGCCATTCTGCAGTGTGTTCTGCATAATAAAATGGTCACAGTTACTTCAGTTCCACATCTGGGAGGGTTAAGTGTACAGTGCCTGGCATATAGTAAGTGCTCAGTAAATGCTAGTGATTATTGCTGTGTTGTAATTAGGTCGTCTCTGCCTCCGGGCATTCAGCACCTTCAAAAGATAACTCTCCTGGCATATTATTAATAAGCCTTGAATGACAAAGGCCCCTCCTCTGTCACTGATAACCCTAGGTCTCTTGATCTGTTTGTCTTTCCAGACCACTTCTTGCTTCATAGAATGAGGAGCAATACAGATTGCTAACCTCCCAGAGGAAGTTCATAGCACATCTAGAAGGGTGGGGGAAATAAAAAAGTGGTCGGGAAGTCTTGGGTTAGGTCCCTGACCCTGAGGCCTATGGGACACAGAGGGAGGACTCAGTCTGAGCAGGAAACATGAGACTTAGTGTGCATGTGGAAACAGGTCCATTCTGGGCAGAAGTTATTTCTTGGCCGTCCCCTGCATTTGCATGACACTCTGCCTTAGCCCCAGACAGTCCCGAAGTCCTTGCTTATGAAGCAGCTTCAGGGGATCTCAGATTTCAAGAAGCAGGATCAGGTAACTCCCCGCCTGCCCTCTTTATCGGCAGAGTTGCTCAGAGCCCTCTCCCCTGCCCACACCCAGGAGCCGCGGCCATGATGGAGTGGGAAGGCATATTACGTGTGTTTGGTGTGAACTTTGCAACCTGTCTAAGAACAATTGCCAGTGTAGTAATTTCTCCTCCCTACCTCCCCATTTTAGGGTTTTTGCCAAACTATTTACTACCTCCTTATGAGGAAGTGGTGAACCGACCTCCAACTCCTCCCCCACCATACAGTGCCTTCCAGCTGCAACAGCAGCAGCAGCTGCCTCCACAGTGCGGCCCTGCAGGTGGCAGCCCTGCGGGCCCTGATCCCACCAGGGGCTCCCAGGGGGCACAGAGCAGCCCCTTGTCCGGGCCCAGCAGAAGCAGCACAAGACCCCCAAGCATCGCTGACCCTGAGCCCTCCGACATGCCAGCTGACCAAGCAGCTCCCAAAGCCTCTCAAGTGGAGCCCAGCGGCTCTGTGGCTGGTCTTGGGGAGCTGGACCCAGCGGCCTTCCTGGACAAGGACTCAGAATGTAAGGAGGAGCTGCTGAAAGAGGACAGCTCTGAGCATGGTAGTGCACTCCCCGACAGCAAAGACAAGACACCAGGCAGACACCGCCGCTTCACGGGCGACTCGGGCATCGAGGTGTGTGTGTGTAACCGGGGCCACCATGACGATGACCTCAAAGAGTTCAGCACACTCATCGATGATGCTCTGGATGGGCCTCTGGACTTCTGTGACAGCTGTCACGTACGGCCACCTGGCGACGAGGAGGAAGCGCTCTGCCAACCCTCCGAGGAGCAGGCGCACGAGCCTGGGCACCCCCACCTGCCACGGCCGCCCGCCTGCCTGCTGCTGAACACCATCAATGAGCAGGACTCTCCCAACTCGCAGAGCAGCAGCTCCCCCAGCTAGAGCAGGCCCTGCCTCCACCCAGGAACTTGGCAAAGCACCCACGGTAGGGGAGAACCACAAGAGAAGCATTAACGACTTTCCGAGAGAGTGGCACAGCCACTTCGCTGTTCTTTCTTTCTTCCTTCTCTCCTGCGTTTTCCTACATTTCCAGGTACAGTTTGAGGTGTGGTGCCTCTCCCCACAAGCACAGTGCTGCGGAGGACGGAGAAGCTGTTCTGTGACTCATTCCTCTCACCCCACCCCGTCGTCCTCTACCCCGTTTTCAAGTCTCGTCTCACCTACCTGTCTGGGTCAGAGAGATGTGCGTTTTCAAAGCCCCCAAGGAAGGGGGCTGGGACTGTGCCCTGAGAGGATTCTTTCTGTGCTCTGGTTTTTCTCTAAGAGAACTTTGCCCTGTCCCAGGCCAGGAAAGGCAACCCATCTGGGCACTGGGTAAAGAGGGAAGCTCACAGGTGCCCCAGGATTGCCACCCGTGGCTGCCAGCATCTGCAGAGCTGGGATTGGATTAGTCCTGGGGGGGCAGGTTGGGAGGGGCTTGTTCTCAAATCCCAGGTGACATGATGGGCGCATTGCCGGGCATCCTCCACGCTTCCTCCCCTGGGCCTTTGGCTGGCTGCAGACTGGTATGCAAGATAATCCTGCCTGCTCTTCCTTTTTTTTTTTTTTTAAAGAAACAGAATCCAGCTGAAAACAAGCCTACCCGTGGGCAGGCAAGTTATCTCCTAGGAGAAGGAAGTTTGTGGCTCTTTCCAAAGTGGCCTTCTGGGAGCCCAGCCGCAGTAGAGCCAGGAGATACTTTTTGTGCAGACTTAGACTGGGCCGTCTCTGGAAGCTCTGTGAGCACAAGGCCCTGGCCATGGTGGACGTGCAGCTTCCGCATCTCTGCCCTCTGGCTGTGCCCACAGGACCAGTGCCCTCCTCCATCCCACACGGGGTCGGCGGCTTTCACGGCTCCCTGTTCTTTGTGAGCAGACGGGCTGAGGAAGCGGTGGGTGCTGAGAAGGGGCAGCCCTGCCTCATGCGGTATTTTCTCTTTGATTCTGAATGGGTTTTTTGTTTTGTTTTGTTTTGTTTTGTTTTTTTGTTTTGTTTTAAACTGACCACTTAGGAGAAATACCTTGGTTACCTGTGGTTTTCACGCCCTGTCCCTGCCCCCAACTTTGTGTAGGGTGACGACTCCTTTCCCTATAGCCGACATAAAGAGTCTGAGTGGCCGGAGGGGCAGGGGGCGGGGAGGGCAGCGTCCGGAAGGACCGCAGCACCCTCTTGCTGCTGCTTGGCTCCAGGTGCCCGGTTGAACTTTGACAGTAAGCTGAGCAGAGACAGCAGACGGCCGAAACCGACATTCCCTGCCCAGCCGCGTTCATATGAAGAGTCTGGTTCTTTCCCTACTCTCAAACAGTGATACTTAGTCTAAGCATTGATGTTATGGCAAGAAAGGATATATATATATATATATATATATATACACACACACACACACACACACACACAAACACATATATGCATATATATGTATACACACGGAAACAGACAAATCCAAGGCTGTGAGGTGAATGAACATCTGTGTTTGGATTCCACAAAACCAAAATCCATGTCGAACAAAATGAAGTCCATACACAATGACTTTTTGGATGATCTGTGTGTCTGTCTGTTGTATGTGAGCCCCGAGCCCTGTAGTCCTGTGAAGATGCTTTGAATGGCAGCCATTCTGCTCCCGTGTGCTGCACGTCCGGAGCAGACGTGGCCCTCTCAAGGTAATTTATTTTACGCATTTACTGTTTACTGAACACATGTCTGACTGTGTACTCGGTGTATCCAGCAGCATTGTCGACGGCAGCCCCTGTGTTTGCCAGAGATTCTGTGCTCAGGGTAGAGGTTTTACTCTGCCCATCACTGCAATTTGCACACTTTGCTCCGTGGCCCCTCGAGGCCTGTGTCCTGTCCCCTGTAAATGGAAACGTGCTCTGAACCTGTCTGCTTTCCTCAGCCGCTCCCAGCCCTCTGACTCAGCGCCTGGGAGGTGTCCACGACCACTTGGACAGAAGGCAACAGTGGTGTTTCCGACAGACTCCTGATGGGACCTAGAGCGGCAAGCCTAGGCTTGAGGCTTTGGTGGGCGTCACGGTGCCACAGGGCTTACCTCCCCCAGCTGAGGCCCAGCAGGCGTGGCCGCAGCCCTCAGATGCCTTCCCCCCACCCTTACGTTGAATCCCGAACAACTCACTGAAGTGTCTCAAAGGAGAACAAGGTTTACCAAAATGAATCCTGCTTCAGTTAACTGATCAAATGGAAGAATTCTGACCCTTACGAGGTCTTTTCCCCAAGAAGAGTGGGGATCTGGTCCGAGTGCTGACTGTTGGAGCCACTGCAGCGCCCCCCCACCCCACCCTAAAGCCGTGAGAAGAAAACTGGACCCGAGGAGCTGGGCTTGATTCCTGAGTCGTGGCCTGGCACCTGCCCTGGGAGGCCACCTGCCAGGAGAGAGAGAGATGGACATAGGGAACTGAAGACAAGCTAGGGGGCCTGGGAGGCCGGGGTCCAGTTTTCCAGGTGAATGAAGAGAAAGGGGTTGGTGGAGGGTTTGGTGCTACAGTGGGGAGATTTGCAAACGCTAACACATTCCTGTGCAAGCCCATCACCATTTGTCAGTTATTGTGCATACGTGTATTTTAAGCAATAAGACTCAGCTGGTCAGACTCCTCTGGGCAGTCTCGGTGACGCATTTCCTGTGCTGTGACTGTTCCGAAGACAGAGTGGCTCTGACCACTGTGAGAAGCCCAAATAAAAGTCAATCCCCCCACACCTCCTGCTCTTTTTTTCTGCCTGTACTTCGTGCCTTTTTCTCCTTTCTTAGACTTCAGCGAGTCACGTCTCAGGATCCCAAATCCCAGGCACTTTTTCATCTTCACACAGACTTGGTGGTGTTGTGTTGCCATTGAAGAGAGGATCCTGGGCCCAGCAGAAGCTGCGAGGCCGGGGGCAGACTGGGTGCTGTCGCTGAGTCCGCACTTTGTCCTGGGGACTTTCCCCGCGTGCGCTCTGTCTGGCAAGGGCATGTTTCTGGCATTTGGAATATTCTGTCAAGTTCTCCAAGCAGGTTAAAATCAGACCTGAAACAGCAGAAGCAAGTTTTGCCAGATACCCCATAGCTGAAACACAACAGTTAAAAGTGGGATGTCTCAGTGATGCAACAGAAATGTGGGTGGGTGCTTGGCCTTCAGTTTGATACACTGTGTGTTCATCTGCCCACTTTGTGCCCAGTACCATGCTGGATGGTAAGGATAATGTGAAAAGTATCTAACGCAAGGCCCCTGGAGAACTTGCATTGCAGTTAATAAGATAAAATGTGTAAGTGGGAAATAGTGGCCTAATAGAAGGTGGGGTGGGGCCGGTGTTGTGCTGCAGCAGGTTAAGCTGCTGTTTGCAACACCAGCATCTTGTACAGGAGTGCTGTGTTAAGTCCCGGCTGCTCCACTTCTATCCAGCTCCCTGCTGACGTGCCTGGGAAAGCAGCAGAAGATGGCCCAAGTTGTTGAGCCCCTGCCAACTGCATAGGAGACCCGGGTGGAGTTCCTGGCTCCTGGCTTCAGCCTGCCCCTGCCCTGGCTGTAGCATCCATTTGGTGAGTGAACCAGTGGATGGAAGATCCCTCTTTCTCCCTGTCTCTCTCTGCCTCAAATAAATAGATAGATGATAGAGCGATAGATAGATGATAGAGCGAAAGACAGCAGGGTGAGGAGAAGTGAGTGGCACAGATTCACTCCTAAGGATGTTTGTTGTCTCAAATGCCAGGCAGGAAGTCCCAAAGCTGGTTTTCGGCACTAGGGGGATTGATTGTTCCCTGGGACAATGAGACTTCTTTTGTGCATTGTACTCAATGCTTAAGACAATCCTGTTAGAACTGGGAGTCAGGTGTCAGCCGAAGACCGTGGGACGTAAGAACCTGCTCTCCTGCACAGGAAGAGGCCACCTCTGTCCTGCACGACCTCTCTTTGGACCACCTGCCAGCAGTGATGTGCATCCTGCAAGGGGTTCCTGCCTCCCCTCCTCCAAATGGATTGCTCACTAATGGATGGAGTCCCTGGGGTGGTGGCAGCAATGTGGCCCTCGCTAGGGTTGCTAGCTGTCAGCCCTGTTGTTTCTGAGATTCCAGTGTCATATGTGCCTGCACCCCATCTTTGACCCTGGGCCAGAGCATGCTGTCCTGGCCCCTCGGTGACTAGAGGGATGCTTGCTGCCTCCTTCCTTCTAAACTGCTGGGCTCTTCCAGGCAACCCCAGTGGAGCCATGTTGGCATGTAGGGACTGTTCTGTTTAAAACCAGAGGAAGGAACTGAGGGTGTCATCCTTGTCTCTACGCTAAGGTCTAAGTGGCACAAAAACAAAATGTTGCAACTCTTAACTGACTGTTGCCAAGGCTGTGCATGTGCTCTTGCCACTGGGTTCCAAAGGAACTCTCTGAACAGGGCCCTGGGATCTCTGAATTCCTTGATTTCTCTAAAAACGATGGCATTGGCTGTTTCTGTTCAGGTGGAGACAGTACCAGTACCCAGAGCACAAAGTAGTAGTTTTGATGTACAAGAATTTCAAGAAATTCCCAATTCTCCAGTTTCCTCTGTTCTCAGGAGTGGGAGTTGTTTGGGATTCCAGTTCCAGTGAGTGTGTGACCTTCAGTTGAGCCCTAGAGGGGCCAGCATTGTAGCATGGCAGGTTAAGCCTCTGCCCACAACAGCAGCATTCCATATTATATCAAAGAGCCAGTTCAAGTCCCAGCTGCTCCACTTCCGATCCAGCTCCCTGCTGATGTGCATGGAAAGGCAGCAGAAAATGGCCCAAGTGCTTGATCCCCTGCCACCCATGTGGGAAACCTAGATTGAGTTCCTGGTTCCTGGCTTCAGCCTGGCCCAGATCTGGCTGTTGGGGTCATTTGGGAAGTGAGCCAACAGATGGAAAATCTTTGTCTCTCTCTTGTTCTGCCTTTGCATACATTATTATTACTATTATTATTATTATTTTTAAAGAGCTGTGCCTTTGTCAGGCACTTACCTTGTGCAAAGTATTAGAAATGCAGAGGTGCCTTAGACCTGGCTCCTCTTTACAAAGAGCTGGTAGCAGTCTGGAGAGCAGGAAAGGCACTTCAGCTCTTGTAGCACCATGCACCACTGGATGTCCTGGAGAATTTAACCCAACTAGGTGTTCAGGGCAGGCTTCCTGGAGGAACTAAACTGAGCTTGCCAGGTGAGGAAAGATACAAAGGAAATCTTAGGCGTCAGTCATTCTGCAGTTTATTGAGTACCTACTGTGTGCCAGGTGCTGAGAAACACAAAAGCATGGGAGGCCTGAAACGGGGGAGTGCGCAGGTGGTGTGGGAAAGGCTGAGCAGGTTGATCTTTAGCTGACTGCCTCTGGAAGGTGGGAGAGAGAAAGCTGGGGAGGCGAGCTGGCAGTAAAATGAAGGAAGCCCTATTTTATTGACTGTAGGCGTCTCCACTACATTTTCCTATCTTAGCCTTAAAACAGTTCTCCAGGTATAGACGAACAGTTTCCACTTTCTGAGCAGGAGCGAGGCATCCGGAGGAGGTAACTAACTGGTCCCTGAGCTGGTAAGTGGCAGGGCCAGGGCCTGAAGCCAGATCGTCCCGGCCCCAAAGGCCATGCAGCTAAGGTGAGATGGTGTTCAGAAGGCAGGAGAAGAACCTGTGTCTTCTGAGAGACAAGAGGGGCCCAGGGAAGGTGTTGGGAGCAAGGAGTGCCGGTGGCGGAAGCGGGTGAGGACCCCGTGTCCTTGGGAGCCCCTCCGACTGCACCTCCCCTTAGTCCGTCAGCTTGCATCTGAGACCCCCTCCCCATGCTGGATTGTGTTCAGGGGGAGGTGTGGTGCCTGTTCCAGGTCCCTAGACCCAGTTCACTTCTCCAAGGAGGCCATATCCCTTTGGAGACACTGCAAGCTTCAGTTAAAGCTGTTTGGCTCTTTGGATCTTTCCCTTGGAAGAGTGTTCTGCACTTCGTCAGAGGAAGTAAAACAGAGCTTCTAGTGTTTGTGAGAAGAGGATTTCTGTGTCCTGGGACATTTCTGCTCACTGTGTGAACTGTCCCTCACCATAGTCTAATTCTCCTTCCATTCCATCTTTTTATCACCAAGAAGTCTCCAGAACGCAGCCCCGCTGGAAGCCATCACACCCACCCTGTGTGCTGCAGCCGCGAGAAGGGTTTGTCTCTGGGCTCCCACCTGCTTCCCGGCTGTCACCTGCCCTGGCTGTGGGGGGCAGGGCTGAGTGGGCACTGCAGGGCCTCTGGAGCTGGGAGGGTGGGAAGACCTGTGCTGAGGAAGGACCCGTGTGCACACACCCACTGCCGTCCCGAGCCTGCGGTGGCTTTCGGGAGGTTTGCCTGAAACCCTCAGAGAAGGAATTGGATGATAAAGTGATGATGATAGAGCCAGTATCAGCAACACCCAACACCTCGTTGGGTTAACCTCGATTTCTGGTCCTCAGGGCCCATGGTGTGTGGTTGGTGCTGCTTCCTCATCCGCTCGAGCCCTCTGTTACCGCTGAGAACACTCAGGTACAAGGCCAAGCAGATGGTCCCTGGGCACTCGTTCTGTGAGTGACAGCGCCAGGGGACTGTAGCCCCAGCTTGGAGGAGGACGTTCCCAGCCAGTTCCTAGTCCCGAGGGAGCTTGGGCTAGTGGTTCGGGTCAGTGGAGGAGAGGGCCTCCCGGGCAGGAGTCAGTTCATGAGGTCATTTTCTGAAAGGACACTGCTTGAGGAAGTTTGTCTCCCCAGCAAACGCCCTGAGAGCCCTTTCGTGGGACCCCAGAAGGGGCTGTGGGAGTCAGGGCAGGGCGCACCCCCTGCTGTGCACCCCACAGAGGCCCTGTTATTCTCTCATTGGCCTGGAGACTGGCTGTTTTCCATCGCAGCTAATCTCTGCTTCCACAGAGAACACAGGCCTCCTGCTGTTTATCTCTTCATCACCAGTCTACTAAATGCCTCAACGTTCTGGGCTCCAGCCCTACAGCCAGCGGAGTCGTGATGGGTGGGTGGGGGCTCACTGTGGTGGCAGCAGCTTGTGGCCCAGGGGCCAGGGCGCAGCAATGTCCACCCCACATCTCATCCCGGCTTTCCGGCAAGGTCTCGGCTCACTGGCTGGTGAAGGTGGAGACAGAGTAGGGGGACTATAGCAGTCACGGCACTGGATTGGTAGAGCTGTTATGAAGGAAGAAAACCTCACCCCTCTCCCTCTGTAGGGGCTCCTTTGATTTCTTCTCTCTGAAAAACAGCCAGGCGGATCTCAGCCTTGCCCTACTGGCCCTTCCAGAACCTTCTCTCTAGTCAGAGGGGGCCTGGGTTGTTTGATCAGACCCTGGTCTGGCTGGCGCCAGGGAGCTGAGGCTGGGCCCCTCTGCAGGCTGAAGGGCAGGGGTCAGTTTCATGCGTCAGTCGCAGGCTAACCAGCGCAGAGCTGTGAAGACGCTGACTGCGAGGTTTAAAGGAGCCCGGCCTGACTTTCCCTGCAGACTCCCTGAGGTTTTGACCCGGGAGAAGGGGCAGAACCCAGGCGCTGCCACAATAGGCAGCTGCAGAAGCCCGTTCCTAGCCGGGTCCAGCCCCGGGGGAGGATGGGGGAAAAGGGGCATTTCTGTCTCTGAGGACCAGGGCAGAGTTGCGACTGTGGGTTACACACTCCTTGCCTCAGGCAGACCTGGGAGGTACAGGCAGTGCCGTTTGCTTGGATGAAAGCAGACAAGCTCTGTCACTCCACTTTCAAAATATAAACTTTGAAAATATAAACTCATTCTGC